CCCCCCCCCCCCTTCCCTTTCCTTGCCTCAGATCCTCCACCACCCTTCTCTCCTACTCCATTAGTCCCAGAAGGGCTTCGGCAGTTGCTTTACTCTAGATGAGTTCCATATATGGCAGCTCAATGTTTGTCCTGGCTTCCCTCCAGTACTTTCATTCCACACACAGACACACACACACACACACACACACAATCACACCAGTACGTGCTCTGAATCCACAGATGCGACGACAATCTCTTTGAAATGCTACATTTCCAACAACCGAGGCTGAAAGGAGCTGCTGTTCTCCCCGTGTTTTGGTCAGTATGCTGCATTAAAATCACTCGACACTCCTGTCCCAAAGTGGATTTAAACTCTGCGGAAAGTGGAAACAATAAAATATGCCACTGCTGAGGCTACATTTATTACCTCAGAATTAATAGTTAGGTCTGTAAACATCTTAATAAGTGTGAAAAACAAACAAACAAAGACAAAGAATAAATGAAACGGCCCAAAATGCTCAACTTCACTTGCACAACATGCAGTAAACAGGGATATGCTTGCCTCTGCAATGGCAGTCCAGGGAATGCCAGCGGAGAAAAGAAGGCATCAGATTGATATTGGTATCAGCAAATACTCCAAATTGCAGTATCAGATGTGAGCCACTGGAGCCACTCTCGTCTAAACAATTTATTCTTGTATTTTCTACAATCTGTACAGTGCATGGCTGCTGTGGAAAAAAGTTGTCAAAAAGTAATCCTGCCAACTAAAATATCGACCACATGTGACATGCAGTTTACCCAAACAATAACTACCAACTGCCTAAAACTCCACACTTATTTGTTCCAGACAGCGAGGAGACAGAGGAAAGTCCAACGTTTAAACGCCGGGAGGAGTTACAGCACATCCCTCTCTCCTTCCTCCTGCCTCCTGCCTGTACCAGGCTCCACTGTTAGCAATCCACACAGCAACCTGAGCCCCTCCACTCTGACTGGGCTCGTATTTCAGCTCTGGCCCATTAGTTGGCAACCGTTTATTAAAAACAGATTTCAGAAAAGCCCTATCCCTATAAATCAAACAGCAGAAATGTCCCTCTTCACTGCACCCCACTTTCAGCGTCCAGTATCCATTACCTCCTCCAACTTCAAGTTTATCTGCACAGCGTGGGTCCAACGTCCGGGACCGGATGACGCTGTCAACAAAACACTCTACACCAGCAGCAAGCATCACTCATTTTACACACACACACACACACACACACGTACACATTTCTTCCACTTACCTTCCACCACATCTTTTTTGTAGTCGCTGTCATTGTCACTGTCGGTGGGCCGGTAGTAAATGTAGAAACCTTGGATTGGAGTGTTGTTGTTACTCGAGGGACTGTACTGCAGAGGCATGGAAAAAAGATTACATTAGACTACAGCAAAGTGGAGGACAATCATCAGACAAGGAGGGGAAAAAAAACCCCACAAAACTTCCCAGCGACTAATGGCGTTATCTTGTTATCAGCAGATGTGTGCGACGGCAAATTTGCCTGTGATTGCACTGTCTGTCTGAAGTTCAGGGCATAATGAGAGTGTGTGAGGTTAAGTAAATGTGGGGAACGATCTGTGTCCATCTGCAGTCAACACTGCGGGGACAAGGAAGGACAGCTTTGAAGAATCAGAGACGTGGACGGGGCATCACAGCCTCTGTCGGAGCTCAGCTCTAATTGGTTTGGTTTCTCCACTAATGGTGTGATTGAATCTAAGCCTGAACCTAGGTTACCCAGCTGGCAATGATTGTACAAACAACATCAAAGTGTATCCAGAGTCGCTAAAGTACTACTATTTTAAGACTGGAGTTTTAATGGAGTGGGGCGTTATTACAGCCACAGAGCAGATAAACTGACTCTCCTTTAAAATGACTACAAACTTTAGGCTAAAACTAAGGCTAAATGTACAGTTATAATACATGCATATGTATTTATGTACCAGGTATTATCCATCAGGTTACAAAACTCATCAAAAACGGTTACATAAAAACCTTATGTTTATTTTTATTTTGGTAAATTTAATAAAAGGCATGTTTGTTTTTTGCATCACTGAATTTGTTGTTTTTTTTTTTTTTGGGTTAGGGTTAGGAAAGCCCCTTTTTCAACCAATAATTTAAACCCAGGCTACAACCAAATCGGATTATCCCTCGGGTGAAACGTAGAGTGTGCATTGCTGTGCATCAGTAGTATACGTACAGTCCATCGCAGCATGATCTGTGTGTCGCTGATGGCGTCCGTGGAGGAGATGTGGGGTCCGACCACAGGGCGGTCAGACATGGGAGGACTGGCTTGCGGCACTTGATAGACCTTTGAGGGGATGCTGTGGGGACTCTCGCCATACATGTTGATGGCAACGACTCGAAACTTGTAGGTGGAGCCTAACAGAGTGAAGCAGTAGAACAAGAGAGTGACGCTGGGATGATAATTTAAAAGAAAGGCCAAACATTAGAGGCGAAATCTCACCAGGCTCCAGGTTGCGGACTTCAACAGACAGTTTCAGAGGTGAGATATTGTCCGCTGCCTCGACCCACTCTGTGGCTCGGCCACGTCTGTACTCGACGCGAAAGGCTGTGATCGGAGAGCCACCATTGGCTCTTGGGATCCAGGTGACGTACACCGAACTTTCAGTAGCCATGGAGATGGTCGGACGATCAGGGGCCTCAGGAACTGAAATATAAAGAAATATCCTAATGAGACACCTCATAAAATCCATGTTAAAAAACACAGAAAGAGCAACAAGAACTCCAAATCATCATCTCTGCATTCCAGCTCATGTGAAGACAGAGTGAGACAGACAAGGAGACAAAGAGGAAGGGCAAGAATACACATCAATGTGGCATGATGTGGAGGAATGTGTACTTACTGCCTGGCCTCTTAGCCACAAAGTTAGAGAAGGCAGGAGAAAGTCAAAGAGAGACAGAGAGGATGCGAAAGGGAGAGAAGAAGGAGAGGATTAGTAAAAATGTGACATTCTGTGACAGCTGAAGTCCAGCATGCACATGCGTAAAAACACAGTCTGTTTAAACTATTGTGAAATCTCAAATAAAGAATGTCACGAGGCTTCGCTCAGTATGTTAACATGCACAGCTTCATTTATACACGCTGTATGTTTTGGCATTTGAGGTGTTATGGTGTTTTTAAAGGGCAGATTACAACAATATCTAATACCTATCTATAACATCTATTTCTATGTATTTCCTACGTACATATTTAGAATGTGCTTTTGCTTCTGAAACACCTGGTAAAATAAAGGTTAATTTGGTGAATAAGTTATAGTGGGGGTTTTTTCACAAATGGGCTTAAAAAATAAATAAATAAAATTAAACCTTTTTCCCAGTCTGAGGTCCAAAATACAATATTTGTTTTTGGCAGGATGCTGTTTCAATCTTTTACACTTATTTTCCCAAGTAAAACTAGTAAAATTTGGGAATTTGACAGCTCCCCATGTCAAGGTTTCATGGCGTTGATATTTGACATAGTAAAATTAGTCAGATCAACAGAACATGCCCCATTTTCTTCAGTGAAATATTGACCAGATAAAAATAATATCTACCCAAAAGACTAAAGGTGAGTCTTATATCGACACAGTGTCAAATAGTCATGAGCTTCTGGTTCCAACTGTCTGCACAACAAAAAGACCTGTGACGTCATCAGAAACAGCCCACAGTCACTTCAAACATCTGTACTCAGTCCAGACACCACATCAGTTTGTAGACGATGTGTTTACATTTACCTCTGTCATGTATGATGACGCCAAAGTGTGTATTAGGGGTCTTGTCAACTGGAGCTTTAGGGGGCATCATGACAACCGGAGGCTTAGATGGGTTCTTGTTGGAGGAAGTGATCTTCTCTGTAACGGATAGAGGAGGAGGGGGGGAAAAAGGCAGAAAGTGAGAAAACAAGGCCCGGGTGAGTCTTCAGGGCTATCGCTTCCACCAACAGCACTTGGAAAAGCTCCGGATGTTGGCTCTGAAATTCAGCACTTCCTCCTCTGTCTCAGAGCTATGCTGGTTTTAGCAGGTCAGGTTTCAAGTTTCCACTTGACAGTACTGCAGCTATGGAAATAAAGTGCAGGGCTCTGTGGTGTGTTTGTGAATTCACATTAATACTTTGCAGCCATAGTAAACGACCAAGGATAAGGAAAGGCAATAAATAGCGGTGTGTCATTACATCTAATGGCATTGAGGTCAGCGGATACTGAAGGAGTTAACAGTCCCTGACACTCAAATGAGATCTTTCATGGACTAGCATTTAAAAACATGTTCCATCAGGCGGATGAAGTAAGAAAGACTTTAAACCAGTAAAAATATTTCAAACCCTGTTACAGTAGGATGAGTCATTCTTTAAAAAAGTTTTTTGTTTTAAATCAGTTTGGATGTATTTTATTTACTATTTATCATTTATTAAACTCTGAGTAGTTAATTTTTAATTTGCAAAAAAAAGTTGTTAATGTATAATATACGGTCTATACTACTAAATGTTGTAACATTACAGCAGGTTGGTTTGCGTTTAATTAAGGTATGGATCTTTTTGGCTTCACTGGAACTAAAAATTTAATTGAGCAAAAAGCTGAAAATTCCTCATTCTGCTTCCTCTCCCATAAATCACAGTACATAATTAGATTCCATGGGTTTGCTCTCAACGCAGAAACACAGACATCAGCTTTGAAAAGCTACAGCTGATCCTCCAACACCCCTAACTTGGAAACGCAACAGTGTAATTTGCATATCTTTACACTCCCGCGAGGCTGCTGTGGATGGAGAAGCGGATGCATGTTTCTGCTGTTTCTGCACTAAATTTCATCCTGAACGACTGTTGAACGTTGGTGCAATAGAGTCCAGGAACGACCAGATGCTCTGCTGCTCAGAGGAACTTACACTAAACCTGACATTTACTGTTGATGCTTTAGGCAGCTGAAATTTTTCCTAATCCTCTTGCGGCTTCACTGAAAAATAGTGGAAATTGTTCTTCCATCTGTTAGTTGTACCCAGAAATGTGACAAAAAACAGTGACAAGCCTAATGCTTGCAGGAAATAAGATTTTGCAGCTTAGAAAGGCTGTATTCAGAGTGGTTTTTCAGTAGGATGGACTGACCCTTGCCCGTGCGGAAGGTGAGCATGGCTGGCTGGGGCTCGCCCGGCGCAATCCCGGCCAACAC